TTTCTACACTAATAATAATCATTTTAAATCTAATAATTTTATATAATTGAATAGCCAAGTTTTCTATTTCTATATAACATTCGTGTGCTAAATTTCAAATTGTGCGGCTCATTTGAAGAGTTGTCGAGAGAAGTTCATAAAATTCTTACTAAGAAACGATTTAAATTTACTTTTAGATTGCTTTCGAGCTTTATTTATCAAATTATTATACGTTTTAATAATAAAAAAAAACGTAAATTCCTCCTTAAAATTGTTAAAAAATTTCTTACTCTAGANATATCCATTTTTAATTTGTAAATATACATTTAAAAAATTCTTTTAACTGAATTAAGTGATAAAATAAAAAGATTAAAATTAATAATAATTAAAATTTAATTAGTGTATGAATTTTTAACCAGATAGCGCCACCATCTGTTTAAATAATAGATCGCGTTGCCAGATGTAAATCGAATATGCAAATTATGCATATTCTAAACGCGCGGAAATGAGAGTTAAATTATATACAGTCGACCCCCATAACACTGTTGATTTTTCCGTTTTATATGAATTCCACGTTGTACGAGTCACTTAGAATTTACAAATACGTGAGCCGTTCACAGCCCGGCAAACGTATTTGTAAAATCTAAGTGACTCGTACGACATGGAATTCATATAAAACGGAATAATCAACAGTGTTATAGGGGGTCGACTGTTGTACTCGAAAAAGTGATCTTCTTTGGAGCATTGTGGAAAGAATTTCATAAAAATATTACTAAAAAATTTATTTTTAGATTAGGTGTATGCTTATTTATTAAATTATAATAAATTACACTGTTAAAATATAGAATAATTAGTAAAAAAAAACCTCTCAAACTGACGAATATTTTCTGCTATATTTTTATAGTTGAGAAAGAACTTTCGACCATAACCTGATTGTGCAAAATTTGGTACTTTCAGATCTGTATCAAAGATAGTATATTCTGTGACGAGACTTTTAAGTTGACTTTGAATGGAAGCCAAAAGATACAATAAGCACAATAATAAGCAATAAGTCTAGACCTTCTGCTGTTAAGTATAATTAAATCTGAAATAAAACAAATTTTAACGCATAAAATAAAAAAATAAATTAAATCATATATAAATATATAATAAATCGTGGTATTATCGTTTATAATCAAGTAGATAAAAGCATTATTTCGTACCGAAAACTTGCTAGAAATTATTTTCAAAGCGAACGTTTGTATGTCGATCTACCATTTTAAATATATTCTATAACTCGTAACGTTTAATTATAAATATAAATATGTAATATTAGATCATGTTGCCCTGGAGTAAGCGCGTGTCTTACTATGCGTATGATTAGTATATATCAAAAGATATACCTCAATACATTTATAACGCACTTAGTACTTATATAACGTGAAAGATTTCGTGTCCTAGCAATTTTATAATTCTTTATAAGAAAAATTAGGTTACGTATAATATTAAAAAACACTATTTTCCTCGTTATACTCGTGTTTGTAACATTATAATTGAGTTAGAAAACGTAATTTTTTAAAAAAGAAATAATGATAATAAGGATAATTATGAGAGTGTTCGATGAGGAAGTGTTAATGCTGCCAAGAAAATAATACAGTTATTTTACTTTTCCTTCTGTTTACAGGAGGAAGAATTTATTATAAAAGTATATATATATTAAAACAACAGCCAGTTTTTTTTTTTATTTGTTAATCAAAGAATCTCTGGCACGAATTTTCGCGAGATACTTGGATAAAAAGTATTCTGTTGGTGCCAAGTGGCAAAGTTCCAGAAGTGATCTTTTTCGTGCGAACAGAGGGAAAGACTACCACTGTGTTCTACAGACTGAAAAATGGCCTCTCTTGTTACCGAGTTGACTCGCGATTCAATCCTAATTATATATACAATTACACGTCAGATGGAGCGAGTGTCTTGTGTCCCACATTGCCAGGCAGGTGCACGCTTTGTGTCACGAAGCCAGCGAATATAATTATATATGTCAGCTGTCTTTCTTTTTTGACGACGACGACTAACTAATTAAGTTTTTGTATATATAAAAATACGCGATTTATCTTCGTCCTATTCATAATTTCTATAATAAATTAGGTTCTTAATACAAGAGGGATTATTCGATTGATGTTTTTGCTCTTCTTTTTTTTTACTGACAAGAGTGATGATTTGTTTCTTTGCCGTGTTAAACAACACATAAACGTGAAAATATTGAAGATTTTCGGTCAAAAATAATATCAAATATTCCTTTTTTTTCTAGTTTTCAAGTGACGTGTGTTGAGTCACTTGAAAACATGATGTATACATTCATTTACATGTTCATTAACAAGAAAAATGTGCACTTTTAATTAATAATTTCGATTTTACATTTATTATTTTTGTTTAATTCGAACTTCTACTTTTCTTTCTTTATAAAATTAGCAAACGGCGACTATTTTCAGTGATGTGTGTCGATACACATACGTAAGAACTGAGTTCGGGTTTGATTTCCTACCAAAATTCTATTTTTTCTTAATAATTTTCTGTTTAAAAAAAGAAGGAATAAAGACAGAAAAAGTTAAAAATTACATATTAAATAATTAAATTTACGATTTAATATTCAATTTAATTTTATTATTTTAATGTCTCTTTGTATTACATAGGGATAACCGGATGTGGCGCGCATTATAAAAGAAAATAAAGAAAATAAACAGTATAAAAATTATATTTTAAATTAAGTTTTAATAATATTAAATTGTAAGATAAATTTACTAATTTTTTCCCCATAAAATTCAAATCCTTATATTATATTATGCGGCTCATCCAACCGGATTCAAAGCGCAATAATAAGGAAAATTATATAAAAATTCTATTAAAAAATATCACGTAATAAAATTTCAGTAATTGAATAACATTAATTTAAAGTTTTATTTATTATTATTATTTTTTTTTAATGAAATTTGAATTCTTTCTTTGTATTTTCCATAGGGATAACCGGACGTGCCACGCAATATAAACGGAAAATCCAAAGCCGAAACTCATTTATCTTCAATAAATGTTCGGTTCAAGGACTATCTATAAAAGTAGGTCTGCCAATAACCATGGACACTTCTTCGCACATCCGGGTAATAATAAGGTATTGTTAGCAATTTCGTTCGAATTTTTTTAAGATCAGAAAAAAAAAATATATATATATATAATATGTNAATATAAAAAAAAATATATATATATATATAATATATATATATCTACGAAATTTAATCTTTAAAAAAAATTTAATTATATAAAAAAAAACGTGTATAATTTTTTTTAAGATGTTAAATTATTGATTAATTATGTCCAAGAGTTCAATAGAAAGTATCGTTTCCTGTATGACATCCCTATATATGACCTTCTAAGATGGAACCTTCGTTCTTTTAAAGAGATTCTGGCGTCGATACAGAATCATGATGAAAATGACCTCCAAAAGAACAAAGGAAGAACTGAGAAATGAAATAAAATAGGTCTAATTTTACCAAATTTCTGTATATAATCTAAGCATTTATTATTGACATTAAAATAACGTTACGCTAATTTATGACGGTAACGTGTTATAAAAACTTTATTGAAGTACCCGATTTTTATATATATTTTATTAAAAATTGAGTTTGTTTTAAAATTCGTTGTAATTTTAACGTTTTTTTCGCTTGTTTCTTTAATTTTTGTAATGATTTTATGAAGTAAACAAACGTTTAATATATGTTTATCTCTTTATTTACGTTAAGAAAATCGAATATATTTCAATTAAATTTATGATTTTTAACCATGAAAATCTTCTATAAAAAGGCACACGCCTATTTATTTAAACGTTAAGGCGTTCGAATGTGTTGCATCACGTCTATTTGAATATTTAAAACATAATATTGATCTTACAACAGCGTGTAAAATTACTAAGAGATAAATTCTGTTATATAACCTTTCTAGGTATAATTATAGTAAAATTATTATTATTTTTTTTATATATATATATTATTTAATCTTGATTGTTTTGACACGGACATGACACGCACCCAGTAGTCTGTCAACACATTGATTATGTCCTATAATCTGTGTCAATTGATGGAGATAGTTTATAATTCAAACATTGGTCTCATATGGTATGCTCTAACGTACAGTAATTTCTCATTGAGACCACTTTGATTTCATTCACGATCCCTGACGTCATTAGACTGGATGGCGTCGCCCGTCAACTGTTAAATGACAGATGACACTAATATATCTTTGATTTCGGGAAAAGAATCTTTAAACTGTCCAAAAATATTTCTAATATCATTATTTTATCATCCATTACTACTATTTTATTGGCTTATTGAGAATAGATTTAAACTTTCGACCCCCTTCTACAATTCTGTGAACTTCCACCCCACTCTGAGAGAAAGAAGAATGAGATTTACAACACGNAACTGTCCAAAAATATTTCTAATATCATTATTTTATCATCCATTACTACTATTTTATTGGCTTATTGAGAATAGATTTAAACTTTCGACCCCCTTCTACAATTCTGTGAACTTCCACCCCACTCTGAGAGAAAGAAGAATGAGATTTACAACACGCTGAATTTAATTTTTGTTTTATATATATATATTTTTTTTTCATAAATTATAATTTTAATTACTAAAATTAATATAAACAATTGATTTTTAAGCAATTTTTTTAATATACAATATATTTTTTTTTATGTAAGATAATGTGGTTGAAGGAAAGTCATCAATAAACACAACAGGAGATGTATGTGATAACAGTCAAATTAATATTTTAATATATTCCCACATTACATAAACTGTCTCACGTGTATCAGGCACATGCACCCATACCATGTGGAACCGTAAAGATATATTATACCAAGAAAATAAACGAAAAGATCTGATTTTTTTTCCGACATTAAAAACGTGTTGAGAACCCCCAAAGGCACATAAGGTCAACTCTGGCAAATATATATGTATAGGCTATTTATATATATATATATTCTGGTGTTTTTTTTTTATTACTCCTCCCTTTTAAGGCACTGAAAAAAGAAATAAATTTATGTTTGAAGTCCCCTTTGCTGAAGGCCCGAAGACACTTTCTGGTAGATTCGTATAAAAAAATATGTCAGAAAGAACAGCACGCTGTACAGAAGTTCTATATACACATGTTCTTGCATGGTTTTTTTTTCGTTTATTTTTTTAAAAAAATTTGAAAAGGTGAAATGGTTCTTTACCTTTGTGACTAGGCAGCGAATATATAATTTTTTTTTTTTTTTTAAATTCCTGTACACCAACAAAAAATAATTTACGTTTAAGACTAATGCATGATTTGACGAGTTTCGGCAAGTGCATCGATCAACGCAGAACCCGTTTCACACTCTGTTTTAGGTTTGATAGAATAATTTGTAGTTGTGTTTCCTGGTAGATAATAGCGATTATCGCAGCGAAATTCTGTATCCGAGAGAACGGGAGTTTCATTATGATAATCGGATGCATTGTAGTATTGTTGGACGGAAAGATTGGGTTGCTTCAAGTATTGTTCGAATTCACTTCTATCGACGTCTTCCAAAATGTCCGTTTCCCCGTAATAAATGTCGCCAGAAACATTTATCGACGAATAATTCATGTATCCTTGAGGGACCTGACGGCTCGAATACGCTTGGTATTCACAATTGGCCCTCTCCGGTGACGATTTCATGTAGTTTTGGCCGTAGGTTTGTTCGTAACTCGGAGGACATCTGGAATATTGAGGTCCTTCCAGGTTCATGTTGGACGAAGTGACTAAAGCACGCAGTGTGGGAGAAGCATTGTTATCGATTTGCACTGTATGATTAGTCCTGAGACGAAAGGGTGGACGGACGTTTTTAAGAAAGTTTGACGAATCGCTGAATTTCGATACCAGTTGATTGAACGGGTTCTCTCCTGCTGTTCTATAAACCTCCGTCTCTTTGGTGAATGAAAATCCTTCCTGTTCGGGTTCTATAGGTGACATTTCTGGTGTAGGTAAGGATCGGATCGAATCGACACTTAGATTGGAGGAACCGCTCAAATCACTTGTACTTCCGCCATTTACCACGCCATATTCCGGGCACCGTTGGATTCTTGTCGCTTCCGAACAGGGGCTACCGTGTGGTGACGAATCGGGTGTTTGCACGCCGTCCATATATGAAAGACGACTAAAGTCCACTTTGGATGGTTGGGCGAATTGACAGCTCTCTGCCGGAAACACCATTGGCTGAAGAGTGGGTGGAGGAGACGATGAAGGAATGTTGGCATTCTTCCTAGATCCCCTCTTACCATTCTTCCTTCGTCTTGGCCTGTATTTATAATTGGGATAGTCTTGCATGTGCTGGACACGAAGTCGTTCGGCCTCCTCCACGTACGGTCGACGTTCTTGGGGTGTTAAACTCCGCCATTTTCTACCTGAAAATTACACAGAAAGTGGCATGAAAACCTGATAAAATACCATATATATATATATAAATTGATAATTAAACAAACAGTTTACATTAACAAATAAAGCATAAAAACGACAAGTAAATTGAAAATAATATATATGTATCTCATCCTTATAATAAATTGTTCTATGCCCCGAGGAATATATCTTTGTTTTATTTATGGATTTAGATAAGTAGATTTGTGACGTAGGCTACAAAAACACACAAAAAAATGAATAGCATATTATACCAAATAAATAATTCCCAAATATTTATCGATAAACATGAAATTACTTGTATATATAGGCCTATATATACATCTTTTTAAAATAGTTTATACAATAATATAAGTAAAATACATCTTGCGTGTTTATGTCGCATGGAAATTTATATATTTCGGTTGCAAATTTTTGCAATTTATCAATCGTGGGCGATCAAAAACGCGAGAAGCACGATTTTCTTGGCAGAGAAAATAAGTCGACTTATAAAAAACCGGATTTAATATAATAACCTTGATTAGTTTTCTCGTTACAATTTCACTTCTGATTATCTGACAAGTTGAACTTTAACCTGTAAAACTAGAAAGAATATTAATGCAAGAGAATATTTAACCAGGACATAAAATTGTCAATTTGTCTTAATGTTTGGCCCTGTTTAAAAGAGGAGGGGGAGTAGGATAAAATTCGGAATTTTAGCATTAAAAAAAAAATTATTTTATAGGTGGATTATATCTTCTAATATTCAAAATACGTCATTACCTAAATAGATAATCTTTGATAATTTTTTTTAAAAATTTGATAAGATAAAACGAATTTTTTTTTATTATCGTGATTTATATCTCTCGTCAACAGTTCATGGCTCCTATTCTTTCACTGTAGTAGCATAAATTTTAATTAATTTAAACCCTATTCTGGAATGAAATAAACATTCTTCTAAGTTAAAAATAAAAAAATTCAGGCGATAAAAATGTGATATATAAACGTGAAATTAGAGGAAAAGTTGAAAAATTCAGACCTTGATTCAGTCGCAAACCGTGTATTAACTATGATTATATCGTTTAAGTTGAGCATAAGTCCGGAGAACTGGTCTTTGTCGAAGGTTGCGAAACGTCACAAGGACCTGTGACGTCATATTGCGACATTTTTGATACATAAAAAACAAAATTAATATTAAGACATTATTAAGAGTGAGAATTACTCAAGGATAGAAAACTAACCAAGCTTAGAGGAAAATTTTGTTAAAGATGTTAAACAATCTTTAAAAAAAAGAAAAGAAAATATATAAATATATTATAGAAACAATAGGTGTGTTATTTAATAATATATCATATTTAATAACCTATACATGTTATAATTTACGATACAAAACGTTCGTTTACAATTGAATAAGTCTTGTAAAAATAAAGTCATTTTTTTTTCTTTTTAAAAGATGTGAGACAATATTAATGCATAGAATTCTTTGCATTAATTTTTATTAATATTTAACGAATGTAACAAACTGTATAGATTCTTAGAATCATCAATTATGCGTTAGAAGCATTCTTTCATCTTCCGCCAAGCTGAAGACACGCAATCTATACAAGAGGATGGTCGGTTCGCACGTGACGTAGTTTACTTTCTTGGAAATGTTAATTCTAAGGATATCGGGCTATCTAATTTGATCGTTGATCGTTGTTATTACTTGAATAAGTTCATTTCGTATGTAAATTCTTCATTTCTTAACGATTTTTATGGGTATATTGCCGAAAATAAAATACAATGGCCATGCCTTATAGACTTGGAAAATTCGGTATATTACCTATCCGTTTCGTAATTAGTAACTAATTTATATAGAAAATATCGATATTTTGTGTTTAAATTTATTACTAAACGAGTTTCTTTAGGAAATTTATAGTCAATTAGTATGCGCGGGTTTACTTCTATTCAACGTTTTAGTATAGATTAAATACTGGTTTGTAAGGCGCCATTTTACTCGAATTCGAGTTTAAAGCTGTAAATGAAACGTTTAATTATTATTTTAAAGAAAGAAAAAAAAATTAAAGAATTATTACAGTAAAATTTTAACACAGAATATATTTAGGATTTATTTTTCTGATTAATAGTGTAGAAAATGCAGTAAATTTAAGTGAAAATATCATCAAGTTACTTAAATTTTGACTTTAATTTAGTCATATTTAAACAGTTAGAAAGTAACTATGAAACGACAGGAGGAGGCATCCATCTTAACTTTAAAATAAATAAATAAATAACATGAAAATTAAAGCAGATTAAATAAAGATGAAAGTGAGCAAACAATCGACAGGAGCACACCTGCAAAAAAAAAAAAAGAACAATGTTTCTCACGAGTCCAACGAACTCGAAAATGGAATTTCTGCAGGGACTTTATTCAATATTTGTGTGCAAATGTTTATAGAGATTTTCAGAAACTGTTTATGATTTTCATCTCGTAATGTTAAAACCACAACCCTGCCAACTTCAATCAACAGAAAACGTGACTAAACCCCCGTCTATGTCCTAGCAACCGGCTATTAAACATCTTCACGCTTTCAATACTACTTAAACACAACGATCATTGAATCTCGGTTGACTGTTGTGACAAGAAAACAGCGAAGAATCCTGATCGATGATGGCGTAAATGAGTCCTTTAAAGTCCTACGTATCCCTCTGTAATCAACTGGTCCGAAGATTTGCCGTGTTTTAAGTGTTAATAACAAGATAGAGGTGACAGAAGTTGGCTCGGGGCACTCGGTCCTTTTCAATTATGCCGCTCGGTGGCAAACCAACGGATGGTGGGTCAAGGTTGCCTTACACCAAATGAGCAAGCGATGAAAAGCGTGGCACGTTTTCTCTACCTTACCTAAGTCTAGAGTCGTGACCTTACATTATATCGCTTCCGACAATATTTTGATTTTATGCCAATCTATTCTTGAAAGTTCTTCTTCTTTGCCACTTAGAATTCGTTAAATATGAGATGGATACGCACTTTTCTACATTCTAGAAAAATCGCTAAAAAAGGGTGCGTTGTAGAGGAGATTGAGTAAGCTGTACTTGTCTCTTTTTTTTCGATCTAGCATTATAAAAAGATACGTTCCAATAACCTAAGTTGGTGTCTAGCCGCTGACGCAGGAAGTTAGCTTGCCAATTTTACTTTCTTTCTGCTTAATAATTGGGCTCGATTAACTATTAAATCTATTTTTTAAGTTTGGCCCAGTTTATTTAACTGTCTAAATTTTAAATTCGGGAATTAATTACTCCAAGAATAATTTAATTAAGGTGAGAAGTAAAAACACGCATCCACTGTGCAAAAGTCGAGAGATCAACTGGTGTGTGTGTGTGTGTGTGTGTGTGATTAAGGAGTGTAAAGGATGAAAGAATTAGTTTCCTCTTCCTAAAGAGAGAGAGAAAATGTGTTCATCTATACTCTATAGGAAGAAAACTGAAATCATTGAAGCAAATAACCAAAATAATCAGATAAGTTTCCTGAAAACGTGCAAAAGTATTCTACTTTAAAAGAGGAAAGTAAAGTGCGAATCTTTGGAGAAGAAAGTATCAACTTGATTGAGAAAGTGGAAATTATATGCAGGATGAGAAAGTAATCTGTTAAGACAGGAAGAACTTGACTTTATAACCGAAGAGATGGGAGAGAAGAGAGAGGAAACCACACAATTTTAAAACGATAAGCAAAACTCTCCGCGAAAGCAAACATGTTCTAATCAAATAACGAGTATTGTGACGTAATTCCTCTTCTTTCCTTTTATAATTTATTTCAAAATATCAATTTCTTTCCTCAGATCTTAACCATTAAGTTCAACATGACTGCATCCAAGTCATTTTACTTATTCTGATTATTATATTCCTTTGTTCTAACTCGATTCTATTTTACCTTTTCTATCATATATACACAATAGATTTTAATAATAATTTATAGATGCTGAACTAACCAGTTCTTTTATTTTATTTATTTATTTTTTAATGGATAAAAACATTATTGTTTGTTACCAGGATAGGAACCAAACTCGATATTGAAAAACTGCAACCCGAAAATATACCCGATTCCGTGCTCTAATTCACCGACTTTCAGTCGGATGTCACCAGAATTGGCATTTCTGTCTGTGGATCGTGGGAAGTGAGTTACCTGTCCTACTTCCTAATTCTCATCCCACACACCAGGTGGCGACACGTCGTCATTATGAACACTAAACCGCCGTTTAATACACGTATATAAGTTAAAACCCCCTTTTTAAGGCTTGAAAAAACAGAATTTTTTAAAATTAATTTTAATTTATGTAACGTAGATATATTTAGTTAATTATTTCCTCCGTTTTTCTTATTCCTTCTAATGCCTGTTTGACCTAATTTCCTCTCTCTCTCTCTCTAGACTCCACCAAAGGGTTAACGTTCTGTTCCTCATTCGATCTCGTTACCAATTCGATCGCTTGTATACAGAAAATTATAAAATTAAATNCTTTCATTTTTCTATGACAGAATGATATATCGACGATACAGGAAATAAATATAATTTTCTGAGGCTTCCAAAGATGTCCGGATATCTTCTATAATTCAATAAAAGGACAGCAAAGTGTCCTTTTAAAGGTAAGTTTTTTTTATGTTTTTCGTGTGTAAATCGTCGTATTTTAAGCAAAACACATATAAAAAATTCTCAAGCTGTTAAGAATTCGAAAGTAATCGTCTTAAATTTTAATTTCCCCCTAAAAAATCACTTAATTTATTTAAAATAGAAGCCATTCGAATGTAAAATATAATAATTTAAATCCTAAAAATTAACCTTTAAGCCATTACTTTTATAAAATAAATAAATAAATAAATATTTTTGAATGTTGTAACTGTGTAGAGTTAGCGGTTTAAGAAGTTTAAAACCACAAAAAAATGTATAAAATTATTCTAAAAAATAATATTTTAAAGCTTAAAAATTATAATATATTATTTTAAATACAAATTTTGAATGTACAGAAGCCTCGCTACTGTA